CTTTAGCAAAAATAAAATGAGAACTGTCTCATAAGCAGAAAATATCTACAGGTTATTCAAGAAAGAATCTTATCTGTGAGTCATTTGACAACAAAAACATTTTACAACAGCTATGAACGAATTAACATAAGAAGGTATCCACAGGCAAGAACAAAAACAACAGTGAGCAGAACATACAAAGAAGTTAGATAGAAGACTAGTAAGAAATTAGCCATGATATAAACGCAAAACATCATTTTTCAATGACGAACAGTTGTTTGGAGGTCTGGTTTGATTTGTATATATATATATATATATATTTTTTTTTTTTTTTTTTTTGGTAAGATTTTTTTCCCCAAAGAGTTAAGTGCTTCATTAGTAAACAACACGATGGGTGGAAATTGTATAGGAAACACATTATTAAAATTTTTGGCTTAGCATTGTGTGTTAGTTTATAATTTCATAGACTATCCAAAAATTTTGAGTTGTATACAAAATTCTTGACTGTTAAATAAAACAAAACCCAATGTGTTATGATTGACTCTTGATCTAAAGCAACTAACACCTGAATTTCATGATTTCATACAACCATTCTGTTTTCATTCATGATATTGTGGGTCGGGATTCTGGAAGGGCCAGGCTGGGTGATTCATCTCTATCAATCTGGCAGCGACAGGGGCTGTAGGCTACGCCTCCAGACGGCTTCTCCACTCAACTGTCTGTGCCCTTTTGCCCCTTTTGTTTCCATGCAGCATCTCACACCTGGTAGTTTCAGGAAAGTAGCTCTGGCCTCCAGATCCAGGTGGTGACACCTGTTCCCCTACAGGCCGAGCCTGGAACTGCAGTCGGTCCTTCCTGCAGCTCCTTCCTGTCTGAGCTGTCCCAGCCCAGTGTAGGGAAGGAAATACCGTGTTTCCCCCCAAATAAGACAGGGTCTTATATTTATTTTTCCTCAAGAAGACACCCTAGGGCTTATTTTCAGGGTATGTGTTATTTTTTTTAAGTACGGTACAACCATCTACAGTGATTCAAATAGAGTTAAGTTGTCGTCTTCTGGAACATCATCATCACTCTCCAAACCCCTGAATTCCATCCTGAGTTTCTTGCGACTCTGTTTCCTTTAGAACCACTGGCCCCAATCTCTCCTGTGGAGCACTAGAGCTGTCACGGGGCGGATGAGAAGGGCTGCTCGTGTTCCTTCCCGCTCCTCGACGACACGCACGGGCTGTGCAGACGCGCTGCGCAGCCACGCCCGTCACTAGGGCTTATTTTCGGGGTGGGGCTTCTGTTGCCCAAATGATTAGAAATCCTGCTAGGGCTTATTTTACAGGTATGTCTTATTTTTGGGGAAACACGGTAGATCCCACCATACCTGGAAGGAGAGTCAAAGCTCTGCTGCTTTCTTCAACCCTCCATGGCTGTGGTTCTTGACCTTTTAAGTTTATGGAAGATCTGGGGAGGATATGGGAAAATGAACTTTGCCCACATTTTGCATGCACTTTTGGTGGAAACACTTACCCTGAAGACTAAAACATCTAAGTTAAAATTGCTTGATGAATGCAATTACAGAAATAATATTATAATGGTTCCCTTGGTGTTAGATGGATTGGTCCTTTCACGAAGTCCCTCTCTCCTTGATCCTCTTATTCCCTCCTTAAGCGCACTTGGTCTTCCTCTTTCCCAACCTTGACCTTCTCCTCCTTCCCCTTGAGGTCTGTCTTTGAAAGGATCTTGGTTGTAGTTCAGCAGATATAATTTCACAAGGTTCATTTCTCTCAGGGTGGTAATAATCCTATGAAGTATGACCGGGTCAACATTTCTCCAAATGAGTTCTTTTGTCCGTAATTTATACCCAGTAGCAGGCACTCTGTGAACAGAAGGACTGAAAGGAGATAATCTCCTGGGACAACATTTTAGTAGCCCTATGTCATTGCCACTAACCAACTCCCAGGCTGTGCTCAGGTATAACCTTGCCAGCTGACGTCCTGTTCCTATCCAACCATCTATCTGGATTTGGTTTCTTATCAGCCACCGCAAATACAGGTTGCTTCTCAATTTTGTTCTGTAAACATATGATTGCTGCATCCGTCCTGCAGGAATTGAAATTTGGCATCCCAGCCTTGGGAATTGTTTTCAGAATCAACAAAAGGCTTCTTTGGCTTTGTCTTTTGATGTGGATGCTTTGCATCCTGCTCACATGCCCTGCAATGTAATCTCAAGACGCAGCTGCTGTTTCAGAGAGTTCATTCATGTCAGCAGCAATTAAAAAGCCCTTTGTTTTCCAAACATGCTTCCCAGCTCGCCTTGAAGAGGTTTTCAAACAATGATTCCCACAGCTTGAGAAAAGGAGCCTTTATTGTGCATGGCAAAAAGGGTGTGCCGTGTTCGCTTTCAGCCTCGTTCCACGATTTACAGCAGGTACACCTGTGCATCTTCTTGACAGTGACATTTTAAATACACAAAATCCCTAGCCATCACTTTGCCACTTAGAGATATGACCTCCTGCAGCAATGACTTAGAACATAACCAGGAGATGGAATGAAAACCGGAAATGCTCCATTGGTGTCACTGTTAGCCTTGTTTTGTTTTCATTTACATATAAGATGGATACATCCTTGGGGCTTGCATCTCAACAGCCTGGTTTGGTCTCTCTGTCAGGTGAGATACATACCATGGGACAGTATCTTAGGGCTCCCACCCCGTGTCTCAGGTTACGGGCACCTGGAGCATGAAGAATGGAAGGAGACACAGGTGATGTGATGCCAGAGCCTCATTCAAATAAGTTTTCTTTCTGTCTTTGCTTCTAGACTTCTTTTTGCTTGGGTAGAAGAGGATGGGGTGAGAGTGGGAACAAGGAGCTGAGGAAACTGCCAATTTATATTAAGCTAAAAGACTAAGCTGTTGCACAGCCCGGGGAAATGTTTTTGTCTCATCTTTTAAATAGTCAAAATGAGCAACTGACATCTCAAATGAAATATTAGTTTACCTACTTGACAATGAGCTTTATATTTTAGCAAATGTATAAAAAATGAGAGATTCTACAATCTAGGGAATATATAAATGTAGAGCAGGATAAAATATTTCCAACTCAAGTTCCACAATTCTATAGGTTCTATAAAGTCCGATGGTATTAGGACAAGGGGTTGTCAGGTCTATCTTAGAGTAGATTTCTAAAAAGTGAAGCTTTTGACTATCTTGCAAGCCAGTTGGTGAGCACACACCTGGACTCCGTTTGAGCCATGGGATGAGCGCGAGCTCAGGCTGTCCTCAGTTGGAAAGCTGCCCTTAGCAAAAGCACGCCCTCCTCCCCCAGCGCCCGAGACAGGCAGAGCGACGTAGGGTGGAACATCCCGATCTGTCTCGATTACAGAGCATCTTCCTTCATTCTGCCCTCGTGAAAGTAAAGATCAAAATAACGCTAGTTCATAGAACTGGCCTTGATTTCAAATCAGGTAGTGGGAACCTCACCTTGTATAGAAGGAGGCAGCAGCAGCAGCAGCAGCAGCAGAGGGACTGAGTGTTTGCCCACGCACTGCTTAGTGACAAAGCTGAGATCTGAACCCAGGTCTTTTGACAAAGTCAATCCTGAAGACCAAATGAGGAAACCTGACAGAAGCGTACCAAGCACTTTTTTTTTTTTTTTTACAGCTTTATTGCATGTCGTACAATTCACCTGTTTCATGTGGACAGGTCAGCGATTTTTTAGTTCATTTGCAGAGCTGTGCACCCACCACCGAATTGTAGAACGTGGCGGCACTCCACCAAGAAATCCCGTCCACGGCAGCAGTCACTGCCCGCTCCTCCAACTGCCTGCCTCCACCCCAGCCCAGGCAAGCGCAGGTCTCCTTTATGGATTTGCTCATTCTGGACATTTCCTATAAATGGAATAACTCAGCATGTGGTCTTTTGTGGCTGGCTTCTTTCACTTGGCATAGCGTCTTAAGGTCCACCTATGTTGTAGCGTTTATCAGCACTCCATTCTTTTTATTGCCAAATAATATTCCATTGTATGGGCACACCGCATTTTGTTTATCTGTTCGTCAGTTGATGCCCACTTAGGTTGTTCCCATTTTTTGGCTGTTATGAATAATGCTGCTGTGAACATCAATGTGCGAGTTTTTGTGCGCACATCCATTTTCATTGCTCTTGGGTGTATTCCTGGTCATATGGCAATTCCATGTCTAATACTTGGAGGGCTCCCCGAACTGTTTTCTACTAGTTTGTTTTTAAAACAAGTCAGAATATTATACAAACAACTCCCATGAGCCGGGGCAACTTTTAGCTGATTTTAAAGGTATATAACCATAGATGTGCACAAGTTGGCATGTATTAATACATAGTTAAAAATTATAAAGAGGCACAAGAAATTTCTCATAGTTCAAATAAGTTAAGCAGGACCATGCTTTCTACATTGTGAATAATTTGCATGGTCCACATTTAAACCAGCCAGAATATAACAGGCTTTTGATTGGCAGTGGTACCCATTTGGCCAAGTTGATGTTAACGGATGCTTTCATTTTGCATTTGTAGACATAGAAAATGGCAACAGGTTTTCGATAAAGGTGTTAAGATATTTGACAAAATGAAAGAAAGTCAACAGGAGAGAAGAGCAATGCCATTAAAGGAAAGGTTTCATCTCAATGTTGAGATTCTCTGAATTACGGTCGCAGCAGGCGGCTGGCATGAGCACAGTGCACACACCGAAGAAAGCTTTTCAAAACATTTTTACTGCTTTTTGAGGCAGCATTTTGTACATCTATGTGTAAATAAACCGGAATTAAGCGATCAGATTTTTCATATGTATTTATTTCTATGAAGGTGTTTTGACAGCCATTTCTTCTAACCTTGTACTGCGTAAAGTATCCATTACGCCAGCATTAGGTCCAAGACCCACAGCTTGTTCCAAGCTCCACCACCGTCCATGGGCTATGCCTCTGCATCTCGGGACTCCACCCGCCTTTGTGAAGTAGGAGTAATTAGCCCCCTACCCACTTTAAGAGGATGGGGTTATGAGAGAACAAATGGGATCCGCAGCATGCAGTACCTTGTACGCTAGCGAGCTCTAAAAGGTAAGGCATTCCTATAGGCTCAGTACAACTGCTCACTACCGATGTTCAAAGGGATATTTTAGATGTTCAGAGTACTGATATTTTTGTTTCCACACCTACCTGTGATTAACGATAGCACTATGGAAAGCATTAAAAAACACATTTCTAAAATTGGGAAGAATTGACAAAATATTCTTAGTTATTACATCAAATGTGAAAAGCTCACCCGGAAAGGATTTTTGGAATTCATTGGTATGGCAAATTTTTTGTACACGGAGCATAGAAATTACAGAAAAATTGAATTTATACTTTGTATAATATCAGATTGCAGATTACTTTGTTCTTTCCTTTCTTTTCTTACAAATACTTGAAGCCCACCACATTCCTAACTGCACCTGTTGGAGCTATTTTTGTATTTTTGTGGGCAAAAATAAGAGGTAAAGGGACAGGTCACCTGCATGGCTATTTTAACTAAAATATGTCTTCTCTGCTAGCATCTTCTTCCACCAATACCAAAACACACTGTGTTCTTAAAAACCTTTTTTTCAATTGCCATTTTTAAAAAGGGGAGGGGGTGAGATAAAGATCTATTACTAAAAATCACATCCGTTAGCAAATTAAAAGCCACACTGGGAACATGGCCTCACAGTGACATTTCTTTTTCACTTCTACTCACTTATCAATATAACTGTCACCTCATTAAATGTGTTTTGGATGATTGAAAGTCTTTTTAAAGCAAACATTTATTCTAAAACAACGTATTAAAAACTTAGAAAGACAGGTATAGACTTTTCCACAATGGGAGATTACAAACATAAGGTAAGGCAAAGAATAGGAACTTTTATGAGAATATATCAACAGAAAAAAATATTAGCAGCTTGTTTAGAACATTAAATTTTGCTACTGTCTAATTTTATGAGAGTAGCAGCTGCTCTGCCACTTAGTGCTCGAGTGTCAATATCTTAAGACAACATAGAGCTTTGCTCTTTTGTAAATTTTTCCCCTACTTGAAAAAAAAAAAAGGAGAGGGAATTCAGCAGATGCTATTTCTGAAGAAAAATGACTACTACTATGAACATCTTCAATTATTCGCCTCGCTTCATATAACTTCCTCTTTCTTCCCTCCAACTTCTCATTATTCAAAAATCATTTACCACTAAATTATAGAAAAAGTAGTTTCTCCTACAGCAGAAGCGAAGCAAGGCTGGGCATGAGTCAATAAACAATTACGAGGCTCTCAAATCATCACAAAGATGCCACCTGTGACATATGACCTGCGCTGGTCTCAGCACCGGTTTGTGCAGAGACGAGAAGGGGTGATATTTTCTCTTCTCTAGAACTGATGGTCCCTGTCATCTCAACCTCAGGGAGAGTTTTTCTTTGAACCCAAACATACTCATTTTTGGAGGCTATACTGAAGATACACCTGAGCATCTTTTCCCAAGAAAATGTCCAAACTCTAACCGTATCTTGGCAAGCAGAGCCTGGAGTCAGTGGCTTGCTGGCCGGGCGGCCTGGCTCACTGTTTGTCCCCGTGTTGCCGTGTCGTGACTGTGCGGCTGGGTGGAGGCTTTGGACCCAGCAGGCCTCAGTGAGACCTGGCAGCTCATGGACACTGTGACCTCAGCAGAGCTCTGCGGCAAATCACTGGATTTCTTACAGCCTCCATTTCTTCATTGACACCTTGTTAAGTGTACCCACTGTTTTTAAAAAAGATATATAACAAATGGCCAACAAACACTTGAAAAAATGCTCAATGTCACTCATCACCAGGGACATGCAAATTAAAATCACAATTAGATACCACCTTGCCCCAGTCAGAATGGCCATTATTAAAATATCAAAAAACAAAACAAAACAAAAACCCAATAGGTGTTGGTGCAGATGAAAAGAGGATGCTTACACACTGTTGGTGAGAATGTAACTTAATACAACCTCTGCAGAAAGCCGTATGGAGATTTCTTGAAGAACTAAACGTAAATCTACTGTTTAATCCTGCAACCCCACTAGTGGGCATCTATTCAGAAGACAAGAAACCATTGTATCAAAAAGCACCTGCACTTAGGGTCTATTGCAGCACGATTCACAGTACGTAGCAAAGCTGTGGAATCAGCCCAGGTGCCCTAAGTGGATGGAGACTGCTGGATTTCCTTACTCTTTCCTTGCCAGTGGAATCCTGAAGTGATCCGAGTGACAGTGTGCCCGGGGCTGGGGGACCAGTCCTGATCGCTTCAGTGCCACCCTGGCCGTCTCACTTCCTATCACCGTGACTGATTTTGGAGCATGAAATCCAGTTCCGGCCAGTGCTATGCAAGGGGAAGAGCTCTGGGAGAGACTGTTCACCCTGAAAAGACAGAGGAGTGGGAGGAGAAGTTCTCCTTGGTGCTGCACCGCCGTGCGAGGGCTGAGGCCGGCGCTGCGCGGCCCGCTGGCTGTGGCAAAACCGAACGAGAAAACCACGCCTGAGGTCAAGCCCGGGCCTCGTGGCACTGTGGAGCAACTGAGGCTCACCCAGCCTTGCATTAACACACAATAAACACCCCGTGATTAAAGCAACCCGGGCCGTAGCTTCTATTATTTGTAACCAAAAGCATCCAACCTCAGAAGTTAACAGTTATTAATACGGATTCAGCAGTATAGTTTGAAAGGGGTAAATTGATATTTAATAAAACCCATTTCATGGAACTAACGGAAAATCATCTCCAACTTAGTTCTAACTATAATTCCATGATACTTTTTCTTCTTAGAAATTTAAAAATTGTTAAAAATTAATTTTTTTCTATTTTCAGGGAAGCTCTCATAATAAAATTTAGCTGATGGTAATCAGCTATATTTTATTTTAAGAGCAAAGCAGAATGCTATAAAAGCATACGTTGGAAGGAAATTTAATAATTATTTTTAGACTTTAAAATTTAAATCATCTTCCTACCTCTAGTTAAAGAGCACTTTAAAGCTTTCTCAAGAGATAGACCTGACATTTTAGAATTCTTAAGAATAAAAAGCTATAAAACAGGAAAATTTCTAGATAATTCTAGGTTAGGGTCACGTAGTACACTAAGTGTCAGGGTCAATAATTATGGATGTAGGAGGAGAGATATTGTGCATGAAAAATAATTGATCCATTATGTTCATAATTTACATAAAAGAAGGTGGTTCTTATTCCTTCTCTTAATTACACAGGTAACATTCAGGATAAAGGAGAATCTTCATTTCTGTTGTATTTTTATTCATCTACTGGAGATCTTTCTCTCCTGTTTTTTTCCCTGCTTATATCTGATGGACAACAAAGCTGAAGGAAATTAAAAAATATCTGAACAAATCAATCTTGAAAATCTGAAATATTTTGGGATTCTATTAGTCCTTGTGATATTAACCAGAAATGTGACTCTTCTTTTGTCTTAAAAGCTGCAGACTGGGGCTTTCTGTCATGTTCTTTAAAATAAATCAGTGAGAAATTTAACAAGGCTCAGGTAATGAGATGTATATGTAAGTATGTATATGTGATTTTTTTTTTTTTTTTTTTGAGACAGAGTCTCGCTTTTTTTTTTTGTCTCCTGTGATTTTGGCTCCTTGATAATTTTATTTCTCATTTGAATCCAAAAGTTGCCATTCTGGTAAAGCCCGTCAGTTTTTATTTTTGTGTTTTTTTTTTTTTTTTGAG